GGGGGGGGGTTAAAGGGGCCTTGAACCAAACATTTCCTTGGGCAAAGCCGTTTTCCCCCCCCGGGGCGGCCCCAAGGGGGTTTCATTTTTAAACCCATTCTTGGGGACCGGCGGCAAGGGGGTGGTTCCTTTTTCCCACCCAATTTGGGTTCCATTTTGGTCCACCCGGGCCCACCCCATTATTTGCTTTCAGGCTGATTGCGGCGTGTGTTGCGCAATGCCGACCCACCAGACGCTGGCCAGAGCATGATTGTGATGCCTCTGTCTGGGCCGGGGGGGCGTTCGACAGCGCGCGAGGCTGCCTCCCTGCCCTTTGCGACGCTTGCGACCACTGCTGAGTTGCATGCAGTACAGAGTAGCAGTGGTGGGGAGGGCTTGCGCCCCCCCCCCCCCCCGCAGAATGGTAAACTCGTGTCTACTAACCTCGTCGGCTCCATCGGCTGCCTCTCCTCGTGCGCCGGCTGCCTCTCCATCCAACCGCTTCTGCGTCCTTCTCTGCCCGGTGCTCGCGATGTCGCTCTGCCGAGAGGGTCATCGCCGGCGTAGGCGGAGCGGCGGGCCCTTCATTACAGAGACAACAAAGACATTTCACCCCTCGGGCTGTTGTTGCAGACAGAAAAACAAATTTGGCGCGCGTGCGCGCAAGGTCTGCTAGTCAAGTAAATAGGTGAGATACCAGCGCTTGGTCACATCGGCCCCGAGGTCAGATCCAGCTACTCTGTTGATGACAAGACTTGTCTTTACTACCGGCTGGAGCCGAGCAGGAGGACCCGGCGGCACACAACCCCCTGGTCAACTCACCCTCCACACCCCGTAGGGCGCATCTTAGATGCATATTATCTCTCAAGACTCAGATGCGCATATCATCTGTAGATGGGGGGGCCGCCGCCCCTGAGCCCTGACGCACTTTGGAACGTTGTCTTTGACGATGCCGTGCCGCGTGCGTGGCGCGCGCCGTGGGGCTCCTCTGGCTCTGCCTGTCCGGAGGTGTGCTGGGAGTCGCGACCCGGTGGAGAAACCTTTCTGCTTAGCCCCTCCCGGCGCGTCCCTTTACGGCGCCATCCCCCGTGTCCCTCCGAAACTCTCTCAATACAGGGGCAGCGAGGGGTCGACGTCTTTCGCCCAGCGGACGACGCCGCCTTCGAGCGAGTACAAGCGCGCCGGCTCGAGGCCGAGCTCGACGAGCGACTCGCACGCGGCGGCCGAGCGAACCCCCGCCTGACGAATAGTTCATTGCTGTTGATCGGCTGGTAATTAAGGCGGCGGCCGAGCGAACCCCCGCCTTGCAGTGAGGCAAGCTTCTCCACACACACAAGGGTGGTGTGGGGCTAGGGCGAGGCAGCCCTCGCGTCTCCACGTCTGACGACAGGAGCCCCACGGCGTTCAAAGCGCAAGGCCGTGTGTGTGTGTGTGTGTGTGTGTGTGTGTGTGTGTGTGTGTGTGTGTGTGTGTGTGTGTGTGTGTGTAGCCTGCAGCGAGATGTGGGGAGATGTGGGGAGATGTGGGGAGATGCCGGGAGATATGCCTTGCAGTGCACGAGAATGTCGCGCTCGCGAGGAAGAGTCTCGACGATGCCGGCCATCTGCCGGTGCGGCTGCTGCGCGTCCACCCGAGGCAGGGAGACCACCTGAACTCGCAGCAATGACTCGTCATTCACAGTGATTGACTGTGAAATTGGCGTCCACTCGAGGCAGCGGGACGACCTGTGCCTCGCGCGCCGTTCCCACGTCGAGCACGAACGGCTCCCAGCCTCCCCAGGTGGTGGGTTCGGGTACCATGGGGTAGGGGAGGGTGGGTTCGGGTACCGGAGGGTAGGGGAGGGTGGGTTCGGGTAGGGGAGGGTAGGGGAGGGTGGTTTCGGGTACCGTGGGGTAGGGGAGGGTGGGTTCGGGTACCGTGGGGTAGGGGCGGTCGGCCTCGGGTACCGTGGGGTAGGGGAGGGCAGGCGCAAGCGGCCTGCATCCGCTCGTTCGCCTCCTGCGGCGTGATGCGCGCGAAGCGCTCGGCGGCGCGCGCAGCTGCCTGCGCCTCCTCCGCCGCAGCCTGGCCGCAGAAGCCGGTGTAGTCGATCAGCTCGCGGATTGGCGCCTACACTCGGGGAGATGTGGGGAGATTTGGGGGGAGATATGGGGAGATATGGGGAGATGTGGGGAGATCGGCTCGCGGATCGGAACCGCGTTCGGCCGTGGCTTGAGGGCGACCTAAGGTAAGGTAAGGCACGGTAAACCTTCGCCACACACACAAGGTGGTGGGGCAAGGTAACCAACGTCTAGACGACAGGAGCCCCGCGGCATTCAACGTGCAAGGCCCAGTGCGCGTGGGTGGAGGGCGGCCTCGTGGAAGCGGAACGACATGGCGTTGTACAGTATGAGGCGGCCTAATTCATTAAACTGGCGGCTAACCAACGGTCAACTCGCGACATGGCGTTGTGCCGTCGGAGGCGACCTAATGAATGAATTCACTGCCCTGTAAATCGTAACTGAAATAAAAAAACCATGGCGGTGTGCAGTAGGAGGCGGCCGGAGAGCGTGTCTCGCGGCGCCCGCTCGCCCACGCCGATAGCGAGCTTGATGGCCTCGGTTGCCTGCGAGGGGGGGAGCGGGGGGGGGAGGTGAGGGGGTGAGGTAAGGTTGGCGTTGCGAGCTTGGTGGGAGTGGCGTGG